ATTTGTGGCTTGGAAAGCATCGTGTTAAAAATAAAAAAAAAATAAAATGCAAATGCTTTGAAACTCGAGCACTAATTATAATTGATAAATAATTAAATGCAATTTTAAAATTGTTATTTATGTATTTTTAAAATGTTGTTCCATCAACCTCATTACAAACTTAGTAGGTAATTGCACTAATCAATTAGTATAAAATATCTTTAGATATAGAGGATGAATTGTTTTAGAAGGAATTCCTTAGATTGATTTAATAAAATAATTGAATTTTTTTTTTTGTGTAAATTTTATTTTATTAAATTCTTTTACATTTTTAGTATTTTTATGTATCATTATTTTTAAAATTTTTACTGGAGTTGTTTAATCTCAACAGTTAGGAAAAATCTCAATGCAAAATGTGTTTCTAAAAATATGTTTTTTTTTTTTTTACGTTGTTTTATGGCAACGTATGGCATAAATGAGTTAAAAACTTGTGTTTACTATTCGTTGGTTTCTTAAAAAAATTTTCCTTAGAAATGTCTACACCGTATTTTTCGAACAAATTATAATAATTTTAATATAGATTCTGTAATAGCCAATACACATTACCGAATGCTTGGATGTATCCGAAAAGAAAATATATCATTATAAAAACTAAATTATATATAAAAATATTATTCTAATGAAAGTTTTTATTTTTTGTCAATGGATACAGTTTATTGGTTTCTATTCATACTTAAGGTAGTACGATTAAAGTTGATACTTAATTAAAAAATAAAATTTTCATAAACGTAATATATTATTACAGAAGAAGCAATTTTTTTAAAAAAAATTATTATATTAAATCATTTTGTACAATCATATAAAATTGTAAAATAGTTTTCCAAATCAAAATACAGATTTCACATAAGGGATAGTTAAAAACAGTTTATTATTTTGTGTTATATTTTTATCAAAATTTAAATTTGTAATATAATTGAATATTAATTTCAAATACCTTGAGTCTTATGTTTTTTTAATCACCCTTCTTAGAGATAGTATAGGGATAAGTAGGTTATTTAGTAAATGGGTCATGGTAATATTTGGGAAAACAAATCTTTGTTGATATTTTGTGTATTTTATGTTTAAACTTACTGATCGATAAAATTAATTTATGTTGGATATAGGTTTATATAATGTTGCGTTTATTATCTACTTTATTTCTTTACATGAAAAAAGGAACATGAGTTGTATACAGACAGTGTATTATATCACTGACATGTATTTGGCTGTAATGTTTATAATAATGAAAATTTAGTTAGTAAGAGGTCATTACTCACTCAATACCATTTCAATGAAATATTTTGGGATAAGTACGAATAGCTTATATTTTTTAAATTAATTTAAATGTTTCAAGTTTTTATATTAATATTTGTCATTTTGACAATTTATGCAATATACTTATTATAAAATTATATTTTTAAATTTATTTTACTTGTGTTATTATGAAATAAAAATTTTTTTATATATTTTTTTGTATAATTCTTTGTACATTACGTACTTTTCATAAAATATTGTTGAGTGTATAATTAAACTATAAAGTACAAAATATTAACTTTTGTTACATTTTTTTTCATGATCCATTATGCTTGCTAATGTTAAGTGTTTACTATTATAATGTTTATTCAGACTGTTTTGCAAGAAAATATGGTGTTCGGTTATTAAAAGCTGTTTGTAAGTTTTAGATCATTTTTCATTAGTAAATAGTTTTATTTATTTTATGATAAATGTACCTCGATTGTTTTAAAATCAATAATTTTACTTTATATAATATTCATATTTAGCGTTTTTTTTTTTTATTAAATTAGTAAAAATTTGGAACTACATGGTATAATTTAATAATATCCAATTATTAAACATAACTATGACTAATATAGTTAATAATATAGATTCATAAAATAAATCGTTTATTGTTGCATGTTATAATTATTACTACTGATTCAGGATTTTACGAGTAAACTTTCTAAAGATGTATACGATAATTGATATTTGTATGATAACTCATAAAAAAAAATTAATAATTATGTACTGAACTTTTATTTATCATTGGAGTTATGGTATTTGATATACTTACAAAAAAAAGATCTTAACTATTATTAGTTATTATTTATTTTTTTTATATTATTATTATTATGTGTATATAATAATACATATTAATATATGTTATATGTTTAAATGTATATGTTTGTGGCTATATATTTACAAGCACTTCGAGTTAATGTATTTAATGAATAAAAAAATATATACTTAAAAATACTAAGTAAATTTAAACACGCACTACATTATTATACTATAATTTTTATTTACTAGTACACGAACTTTTCGGGTGATATTTTGGGTTATGAAATATCTTTTTTTTAACATATGCACCATTCTGTAGTGCACTTTTTTTAGCATGTGCATTTGAAAAAATCTTAATCATTATATTGTAATTAGGTATCAAATTCCTTTCCTAGACAATTACCTTCATCTGGGACATCACTGAGTGTAATAAACATTTCTGCACATTTATTAAGTTGTGATCTCGCATATAGTTGTTATAATTTGCGATATTTAGTTCATAAAACAGTCCTGTAATTACATACATTAGCGAAAACCAAACTGATTTATAAGTTTATATAAAATATAATTATTATATTATTTATTTATGTAAGTATATAAACTAGTGGGCGTAAAGCTCGTAAATGCTTCACTAAAAATAATAGTCTCAGTGTCTCAGTTACAAATTATAGCAAAAACGGTAGTTACTTGACGACTAGACTCATTGGACTTTTAGAATGTTACAATTAAAGGCCGTAGCGTCAATAAGTAATCGGTTCTTGTTCGTTGAATGCTGTACAATGTTGAATGTTGTGGCCTCATATAAAAGGTGTCCACTATTATTAATTTATACGAAGTGTATTGATTTTTTTTCTTTATATTATTACGAGATTAAAAACAAACTCTAACCTATTTGTTACTGGTTAAACTTATTTGTCTGTTCTAAGATGTATTATTTTTAGCTTAAAATGTACCATAATTAACAATTGATAAGTAATAATATTATTTTCTTATATTTTAAATCCTTCATTCCATAATTTTTTTAAACATCAATTTTCTAACCTAATAAAGGATGAGTTGTTAGTTATATCTGCATATTTACTGTAAATACAATAATGTATTTTATCGTAGTTGTAATAATTTCCAAATCCTATAGTTATGATAAAATAACTTAGTATAAATAATAGATTTCAATGGTTGATGACAATGTTAGTAATGATTAGAGCGCGGATTTCTATGCTATCGCATATTTTTTTTCTTTCAATATTTTTGGATTTTTGTCAGTTATCTCCACGAATCATCATAATTTGAAGCTAATGGTGAAATTTTTTTTGCATATTTCTGCATATTTAGAGGTTATTGCATATTTTTGCATATTTTGGCAAAATTCAAAATTTATTGCATATTGAAGTGAAAATTTAAAAAAAAATGTATAAAATAATATTTTGTCTAGTAAAAAAATTAAAAATAAATTTCATAGTTACTAAATAATAATTTATATATATATATATATATATATATATATATATATATATTTAGTTATAAAATAAATAATTGATAACGACGTAAACTTAATCGCTCTTGCTGTGTCAATCGATTATCGACATACCACTTGCTTCAAATATGCCCCAATAACTTCGGTTGACATCGAGGGTTCGTTTTCAGTCTTTAAAAATATGTTAACCGATAAATGACATAGCTTCACAGAAAATAAACTTGAAATGCATATGATTATTTATTTTAATAATAAATAAAATTTTAAAAATAAATTAAGTTCAGAAAATTCCCTAAATTTTTTTGTATTAAATATTTAAGTAATTAATTTTTATGAGTTGAATTATAAATTTTAAATAAATAAAAAATTCTTGCATATTTTCATAATTTTGACTGCATATTTTTTTATATATTTTCATGATTTTGACTGCATATTATTTGCATATTTTCATGATTTTTACTGCATATTATATGGCATATTTCGATACTTTTAAGTGCATATAAATCCGCGATCTAGTAATGATAATATTAAAATATTGATTAGTATTAATATTTCATTGTAGATTATAACTGTAAAAATAAAAATTAAAAATTAATTTAAAATCAAAATTTAAGATAATAATTTTGAATAGACAAATGGAGTTCAAAATATTGTTAGTTGTTTCTTAAATAAAATTCTAAAGTCTATTAGTAATTCGTTTGAAATATTTAATATTTCATTCCTATTAATATTGTAATAACATAATATTCCTTCGACCTAAATGATTTATGGTATTCGGTTTTATATATAAAATTTTATGTTGATGAGTTAAAAATAGATTTTTGAATTTTTCTTTTAATTAAATGAGCTTTAATTTATAAATTTTTAATATAATTATAATAATAATATAAAAATAATCGACAAAGTTTTTTTTTTGTAGGGTAAACAATTTAATAAAATTAATAGTTGGTAAATACCGTTAATTTAAATATTTTTAAAATTATGTTGATTTAATTACAGTTTTGAATAGGCATTGGATATTTATAGATCATAAAATAATATTTTGTATTTTGTATTGTGTCATTGATTTATTTGATAATTTGCCTTTGTTGTTGTTCTTCCCACAGTTTAAAACTGATTATCGATAGTATGAATTTACTCTACTTATTGAAGTTTTGAGTTCCACATTGGTTTTTAGTCAAAATATATTTTTATATTTTGGTAAAATATCATTCAGTCGATACCAATATGTTTTCCTTTATTGCTTGTATATTATTTTTAAAATTTGTACAAATAAAATAAAATGCAACTACTTTAATAATATTATCATAAGTTATAAAATAAAATAATTTATAAGTATGATTTTATAATAATATAAAATTAAGTAATAAATATTGTGACAAATGTACAACAATAATTATGTATTATTAGTTTTAATTCGGTGTTATTAATTTCATATATTTTGTTTTAGGGGTTTTGGAAAACAAGGATTTCAATGTCAAGGTAAGAAATTTTTATTTATACTTTACATATCTAGGCTGATGAACTTAAATTAAATTAGTGTTAAATAATAAATACTTAAACAAGTACATGGTGATTTATTTTATTGAAAATTAGGCTTTACTTATTAGTAACATATTATTTAAAAATGTTATACTATTGTTAAATTTAAGTTTTCAAATTTTTTTTGTAAATGTTTTTTTTCTGTGACTAAGAATATTATATATTATATATCTAAAAATGATTTAATATTAATTATTCAATAGTTCATAGTTCGTATATGAAAATAATAATGGTCCTTACATTTTTATATTTTAAATGAGGCTTTTGGTTTTATATTTGATCGTTACTTTTTATTATGTTACAGATTTTATTTTTACTATCAAATTGTATTAAAATTGACTCACAAATTGAAATTACATTTTCATCGAAATATTGATATTATTTCATTTTAAATAATATATATTTATAATTTTTCATTGATTTTTTTAAATTTATATATATATATATATATATATGATTAATTCATTTAGGTCAACCAAAATATTATACTTGTCTTATAAAAATCAAATGTTTATAAATGCATATTAATAAATACGCAATAAATATGTTCAATTAATTTTTGAAATTTAAATATTTAGACTAGGCTTGTATTATTTATTTTTATTTATGTAAAAATACTTTCATAAAATATTCGAATTTATTGGAAATGTATCAATTAAGTCAATTTTTGTACTTAAATGAATCTTATAATGTTCATAAATAATTATTTATAATGTTAGTTTGCATGGTAAAATTTAAAATGTTTAAAAAAGAAATGTACATAATTCATATTTTCAAATTGTTTCATTTACATAACTATTTATCAATTTATTAAATTAAACTATGAATTAAAGGTGTTTTATTTGAATTTGGGAATTTTTAGCGATGGTTCTCGACTATTTGTTAAAGGTATTGCTTCTGTTTTTTCATATTTAGCCAATACAGAATTAAAACTTTGTATAAGTGTTATTTCATGCTCTATGATATCATTGACCACTTTAAACTCCATGACTTCTTCTTAATTCTATATATTCTTCATCTTTTTTTCATGTACTTGGAGGATGATTTTTAAAAAAATTATAAACTAAATGCTTCAAAAAGTTATTTGGAATGATTTGTTACAAAATTTGTTAATTGCATTTTTGGTATATTTTGTTTATCTAGCTTGATACGCTTTAGAGGTTCTTCTCCTTATTTTAGTAAAAATAAAACCATTGATTCATTTTCTCCTATAGTTATTTGATTATTGAAAAATGCCAAATCAATCAACATTTCATCGAGGTACCAAAAATGATTATGAGGGGAGTATTTTATCATCTCAATGTTCTGTTAGTGGAATAAATGGAGAACATTAAACTGGGATTTTTTTTAAATATTTTTCACGTGGTAGGAGACGTTGTTTTTGAATGGACTCTTTATTTATAGTATGTTGTCGAGGATATATTCCTTATGATAATCCTGTCGAAGCCAAAAATTATGATTCCTAAAACATAACATTCCTATCTCTGAATTTAGCTCTATTTAATTCACAAACTAGTTTAGCGGTTGCAATATTTTTAGGTTGGATTTTTTTTTTTATTGTGCTCATTTTCTATTTATTCTCCGTCAGATGTATAACTTATTTCAATTTAACTGAAATTTGGTTCTTTCACACAATTTAATTTAGACAACCTTTCGACTTCTTTTATTTTTCTATCTTCTTCCTTTTCTCTTCTATGTTCTTTAAGTTTTTTTATCATACTCAATTTTTTGTCAACTGAAACCATATAACTTAACTCGTCTACCTTTCTGTCTTTGAACCATTAAAAATTCTTCATCTTCTAAAATCGTCGTAAGATCTAAAGCGTTAGTATGAAAAATGTCAAAAATGTAATTTAAAGATTCTATAAACTCATTTTATCTCTTTTTTTGGTTATTGGTTTTTCGTTTTTCGTATTTCTTTAATGATGACCAAATACTATGAATACTTTTTACTTTAGTTATAATACGATACTTTAACTATAGGTAATATGCTATGCTTCTTCCTTATATCAAAAGATAATATTGGGTGTAATTATAAATATATATATATATATATATATATATATAATTATGCTTAAACATACTTTTTTAAAAATATAAATATTATTTATATCGTATTATTTAAACAATACTATTATAAATGGTCTGAAATACTTACAGACTAATAAACAATAATTTTTAATCAATTTTAAATTAATAAAAATATTTCTTTTAATGATATATGCCCAGAGACATTTTTTTCATTTTTTGTATTCAAATATTATTGAACATTCTAAGATTATATAAAAAAAATATTTTCAATAACATTTGTATACAGTGAAATTTATGTTAATGGTCATCTCTTAAACACAGTAATTTCTATGTAACGATAGTTTTCTTTGGTCCCATCAAGTGTTATGTTATGAACTGTCACTTCTTTAGATCAGTTACCTCTAAATAGTGGTCATTATTTATAGTGTCTTCGGTGACCGTTAATTGGAAATTTCACTGTATCAATTCATTTTAACTACATTTTAATTAATTAATTTTATAAAATACCTAGGTTATATGTAAAATAATATTGTAATTCACATTTTTTATTTACATTGCCTAAAATGGATCGGCACTTTGCATAATGCCTAGGCATTTTGCAAAATACCTGAATTATCCATACTGCCGGTAACATATATAAGATTTTAGATATTTGTACCATGATCTACACATATTGTAAATATTAAAATAAATTTGTTTGTACAAAATAAAAAATTAAGTAGCCTTATTCAAAATATATGAGATATTACCAGAATTTAATTTCTCTATATACGGATATTGTACTTGGATTTCACACAAAAAATAAATAAATAAATATCTTAGATAATGCAATTATTATGATACATTATATTTATATGTACAAATTACACCTGTAATATTTTTAAATCAAAATTTAAAATATAAATATACATTATAAATTAACTTTTTTATGATTATAAATATATTATTCTTATTGACATTTTATTTTTATGGACGATTTATTATTGTTTAGTTTTGTTCTTAATGAATCAGTTGGTCAGTAATTAAATTATAATTACATTTAAGTATAAATGTAAAAGCTATGAAACCTTAAAGTAATAACATTACAGTATATGAGAGAAGATTATCGTATTTGGAATTTATTAATTAATATTATAAAGCTTATATATATAAAGCTTTATTAATATAAAATTATTATTGTATAATATAAAAAATATATAATTATTTACTACGTCATATTTTTGAATTATAAAGTACTTATCTTACCTAATTTATGTATATTGACTTAATCGATATTTTGATTGATAAAAAATATGACAAAAGTGTTAAACTTGGTTTTTTTTTATAAACTCAAAAGTTTGAATTATGGTTAATTAACTGGATATTTTCACTAATAGTGTTGATTATTTGTTTAATTTTTATAAAAGAATATAAAATTATTTTTATTTATTTCTAAGTATTAAAAATTGTAACTTACTGTTAACCAATGGCTTTTAAATTTTTTTTAAATAAACATTTTGAATTTAAACATCTTGTAACGTTTATATTATTGTAATTTGTATATCTCTTACTTGAAATTTGCTTGTAAAAGCGAATCGATGAAGAATAAACACTGGTTTTAGATGTTTATATTCTTACAGTTTTTCATCGGATATATTTTTAAGCTTAAATTTTTAAAATGTTAAATTTAAATACTGGTTATTTTTCTATACTCAAATAATTTAATTCTTAGCCTTGATAAAAAAATATTTCATACATTTTTTAATTTTATGACCTACACAATACGTAGACAAATTACTAAAATTTATTTTTCATCTGTGAATTTTTATTATTGCTATTAAATTTTAAGATGCGCTTTTCTCAGTTGTATTTTGTCTTATATATTTTAGAACTCATGTCAACATATATTTAATTTATTATGTTAACATATTGTTAATGAAAATGACGATTGAAAGTTCAAAACTCTTATATATCCTTTGGATATTTTATTAAAATATAAAATATTACGTACTCTATTTCTAATAACTTCAGCTATTTGTTTTAAGATTTATTTACTATTGTTTATTGGATTATCTTTGGTATATTAAGATTATAAATGTTAAATTATCATTATTGTGTACACTATTTATTTTTAATATCTATATAAAAGTATTCTTATTTTATTATTCTCGTTTTAGAAATAGGTTAAATGTTGTTACTGTTTAAAATGTGTTGAATATATCTCATTAGTGTCAAAATACTTTCAATTGTATACCATATGACTAGAATAATTGGATATTATATTATAACAATCATATGGTGCTTCTCATTGTTTATGGCATCAATAGTATGGAACGTGAATTGTATTCGAAAAATAATTTTAACACTTGATCGTATAGTATTCAATCTATTATTTTAGTAAATGTACAACATTACAATCTACAAATACGATTGAAAATTATATGAAGGCTGTTAGTGTGTATATAGGATGTGTAGAAAATCGAGATGAGTGGAGGTTAGGATAAAGATGGCCGACTTTAAATAGTTTGAAAAAAGGTGGAGAGGAAGTAGAAGAAGAAGAAGAAAATAACTTTACAATCTACAATTTAATTCATTTAAAAAATGTAATTTTTGATATTTTATTGCGGCCGCTTTTCAATATTGTATTTAATATAATATTTTTTTTTATTATATAATCAATTAATAACAATTCAACTTTCATCATTTAATTTGAAATAAATTCAAGTATTTTATTTAGGTGATACCGTATGAGGTTATTTTTTGATTAATTGTGAATAAAATATATCTCAAAAAATAAAAATAGCTAGGCTGGTTTTTATCACATGACATTAAAAGAAAGAAAAAAATTCTTGAAAATTAATGTAAACTGATTATATTTAAATTTTAGATAAAATATTAAAGGTTGTGAGTTCACCACTAAAAAATTTTTA